CAAAAAATTACAAATTTTACATAAAATATGAAATTACATAAAATATTTTTCTTTCAAATTTATTTTTCAGCAAGCTTTTTATTATCGCAATTTAATATACTAGCATTACAGACGCACACTTCGCGCGCGCTTTTTAATATTTTTTAATTTTTATTATTTTGTTATTACATTATTAACCTCACACACACAATATACACAACCGTCAAAATATGCAACAGCGGTGAAATAAACGCGAGACAATCAATCGGTATTGCGGAAAAGCAATAACAATACTTCCAAGGATGTAAGTATCGAATACCTTTTTTTAAGAAAGAAACGAATTTCATGTTGCATATTTTTGATAAATTAATTGAACTTTAATTCTACGTTTAATATCTGAAAAATATTAATATTATACGTTGAAAAAAATTTGCCGAACAATTTTTATTGACATCCGTAGAAATATCGATAATTGTCGTGCTTTAAAAAAGTAACATTAGTCATTAACTGATTTTTAATTATTATTTACTAATTTGTAGTAAATAAATCTTCTGTTTTGAAAGACTTAAGAAATTCGCACCCACGCTGTTTCTATTAAGTATGAAAGATTTCACGTTGCTGAGAAGGAATAGTTATCGCAAGGAAGTTTTCGCTTTAAATATTATCGCGAACATATGCTCAAGACATGCATTATACATGACTCGTGTTCGAATAACGACATCGTTCACACATTTTCATAAGAAATCTTTACACGCGATACTTTCCTTATGGCAGTCTGCAATCTTACGAAAGTGTGGACATGTATCTGCTTTCATCACGGAGCATTTCGGCATAAAAGAAAAATATGCTTGCATGGAGTTTACCGAGCAAAAGCCACGCTTGCCCGTCCCTTTTTCTCTTTCCTCACTTTTTAGTAGAAGTGCATTCCGAGAGAAAGCACGTGACTTGCATGCAATCGATATCACAAAACCGTTGGTTTCAAAGCCCTACAGAGAGCGATATGGAATATTTTTGACATGCATATAGATACTGTCATCTCCATCGAGGACATATGAGCCACACATTCACGCGATAGATCAAAATTGTTTTTATTTTCTAGTTGTCTAAATTAAATTAAATTTTAGAGTTAAAATTTATTTAGAATTACCTGCACACTCGCGCGCCTTAACTTTAAAATTAAAAACGATAGATACGAAGATAATTGGTAGAACAAGATCTTGTGAACTATCTTCTGACGTTTAATTTGTCAAAAGCCTTTAATTATCAAGACTAACAAGAAGCTATTTACATCCTTCAAGATAGTACACGGTTTTCAGCGAATACATGGCGGCCTTAATTAAGACCTTGTTTTTATCAGACACTAGATCGACATTTCTGGTCGTACGTCCTCTCACTCGTTATAGATATACGAGTTATTTCGCATACTCTTCAGTGTGAGCATTTTCGCATATTAGCTGTTTTCACGTTCGGAAAAAGGCATAACAATCGCATGCATTTTACGAGACGGATATCAAACATCGTCCTCCTTTAATGAATTTGGCGGGAATCCCTTTTATGAGGGAAATTGCGATGAGGACACAATCGAGCACTCGCGGATATTGGCGAGTTCGTTCATTCATAGCGTTGCGTTTGATTTAAATGCGTATATGCGAGATAAAAGCCTGCCGGCGAGCCAGGGATCTTGTACATTTTTGCTCCGCTTTTTTCTTTTTTTTTTTTTATATGGTAACCGTTCATCCCCCCCGATTTTCCCGACGTGCTGGAGCATTGACATCTCGATAAGCCCGGACGTCGATTTTCGCGACGCCTCTGATACCTTAATACTCTTATAAGAAGTCCTAATACTCTGGTATCTCGATAGAGCCTGCGTAAATGTCGCAAAAGCCGATACTTTGAACTACTTGTCATCAGCGTATTTTAAAGAGCCAAGATACGGCTGAAAGCACGTGACACATAAAGAACGATACAATAAAAAAAAAAAGTTATTTTGCTGGTTTTCCTATCATTGTTGCTGGGTTGTTATAGGATATGATACGCTCCTCCGTCCGTAACGGTGGTTAACTCGATTCAAAAAAACGAATTTTCAAAAAGTTCCAGAAATTGTGAGTCGGAAGTCTCAGCGCAATATTCTCGTGTATACAGCAATTCTTACGCGCAATGCCTCTGTAACTTGTCCTATATGTGAATGGTGCACGCATCTTGCAAGGTAAAGGGATTCAATTACGTTGCCCGAGTGTCTTTGTACTTGTACTTTGTGCAATTCAGCGAATTCTACAAGGAACTTCTAACATTTATAGAACCACGAAGTTTCTGCACATGACATGTATTGTCTGGCATAATGCGAGCGAGATGTTGTTTTGTCCGACATCGCTCGTTAACTTTACCAGTGAGAATGAGCACGCAACAGCAAATTGGAATGCTTTGATGCTATCGAAATATTTCGTTTAAGCTATATTCATAATTTTTCAACAAATCGACTAATTGTAAAATATCTTAGAATAGAGAATTCTCTTTCTGTTTGTATTTCGGATAAAGTTTAAATAAAATATAATATGTAATAAATAATAAATTTAAAAGAAAGACTCCCAAGAATAAGTCAAAGATTTTGAAAATAATAGCCAATGTGACCTCACATCAACATCCGTGTCGACTCACATTGGCTATTATTTCTATATTTTTGTAATAAGTAAATTGCTTACAAAAAATTGCTTCGTTATTTCGTAAGAATCCGTCGAAAAAATATGTATCTCAAAGCCATTGAAACAACACGTTAACAAGACATTTTATCTCTAATGTGATTAACGACACTTTTTATCTTTTGAGAATTTATTTTAACGTTTCAAATACTAAGTCAAATATTATAAAGCTAATTGTACTTAGATACTAAATGTTAAAAAGTACTACTTAAATACTTAATGTTAAAAAGTTTGACGTTAAAAATATATATAGTTTGTATATTTTTAATTTTTTGATTGCACCAGATGTTGAAAAATAAATATAACTTGGCTTAAATTTGAAGAATTAATAGACTTGTTAAAGCTAGTCCTCACTTTTTGCAGGACAGGGTCAGCTGGTTGTTGAATCAACATCTCTTATCATTAAGACATACACCTGCGCAGAATGAATATGACAAATCGTCGTAATTCGTCGCTAAGCTAAATTGACTAAGTTAAATCCTGCTTTTCCGTTTCCTGTCACATTAAAGTCGAAATGAATGTCTAATATAGTTTTATGCGTTCGAAAGTTTCTCGAACAATTCAAACTTTAAATTCTTATATTATATATTATATCTTAAATTATAGATTGTTCGTAGTACGGTTAAATAATTTATTAAAGCTGAATTTTAAAATAGTAAAGTAACATAAAATTAGATAACGAGTAAAAACGGAACAAAGAAAAGTAACTAATTTCTGCTCGCAAATAATACTTTTTAAATTATCTTCAAGTTGTTTTAGTTAAATTATCTAGCAGTTGAATCTTCGAACGATCGAAGCAGTTCGACCGTTTTCTCCATTTAAAATGTATGAAATACTCGAACTTGAACCGCGAGCTTGAAACGCTCAAACAATTCGAACAATCTGATCATACAACTCCCTCAAATCTCTAAATTCTGATTTTTATTAGATATATTTATTTCTTCGAGTTTTCCAATTTTTTTTAAACAAAAAAAATCATAAAATGTAAAAAATAAGTATTATGAGCAATACAACTTTACAAAGCTTTGAAAATGCATATGCATCAAGTGGATTGAAAGGGTGTTAAGGGAACAGCTTGTTATACAGCTCGACACAGGCGACATGTGTGTTCTTGAATGAATGCAGCTTGTGTTAACTGTTGCTTCACGCATGCAATATGAATTACTTGCATCGCAATGCATCGTAATTAGCAGCTCTAGAAATGAAAGGACATACGCGTTCAAAGTGCTATGTCACGTATCTATGAAGATACATCGTTGTCAAAAAGAGGTTATCGGTCATTTCTGAAATGTCTGTTTGAATCGTATTGCACGCGTATAGATGTTGCAAAATACTCAACTTTTACTTTTAATAACAAATTCTATATATTTAATTTTAGTAATATTTCATCATTTTTCTTTTATTAAAACTTAGAGCATTAATAATAAAAATAAGTTTAAATAAACAATTGCCAAAATTCTTTTACACATAAATTCTGCATAATTTCCTTATGAAAGTAAGTTAATAAAATTTTATATAAAAATACAAAAATTGGATATTTCTCATGTTACAAAAAAGAAGTCAATTTTTGTCAGACAGTATCAATCCGAGAATTTCCTGATTTTTCTAAATAATTTTTTAAGTCTTCTAACTGTATTTATAACAATATTTTTTAATAAAAGAAAATTTCCATTAAAACAAGGACTTGTTCAACTAAATAATTTAATATTTGCCGAAGATATGATTTTTTAAAGATTGTGATACATATATATATATGTACCATTGGACTTTAAAGGGTTAATTCAGAATGTATGATATCTAATACAGTTCACAAAAAAGCTTTTAGTTGTTTAACTAAATGTGAAAATCGCGTTTACGTACAGCATACGAAAATATCTTGAAAAAGGAAAATATTATTATAAATTATTATCGAGATTTTTCAAGAAATGCAAAGGTGATTCAAAGAATAAATACAAAAATATATGATTTTTTAATAAATCTTAAATCCCATCTTTTCGTAATACTCAATTTATCAGAATTATTTTTCCGCCCTTAGAGTTTATCTTGGATTCGCCTAAAATTGGATTTTAATTGAGATCAACTGGACCGACCCTTGCGCACGTTTTAAAACATAGTCTTCACGGCAAAAGTTAATAAGGTGTGTAGGTGGCGGCTTCGTATTATGGTCACGTGAAGATGACGTAAAGCGAGACATGAAGAAAGTCGAGTGAAAAAACTCGTCATGCGTCAACCACAGAAAAAAAATAAGAAAAGGGACGAGTGAAGAAAGGCGACGACAGAGCATTATAATAAAGCAAATTACAGATTTTTCAGCTTTTATATCACCTTGTACATAGCGCTGCTGCCACCCACGCCAAGAAACAAAGAAACGTCGCTCTTGCCTTTGTACATACATATCTGTATAAACATATAAGTTGAATCGGATTAAATCAGTAATTAGTTAAATTACTAATTGTTCGCTTTTATCTCTAATTATTATTATTCTTACATGATTATTCACGGTTTTCCGTGATAATTTTAGGCGCGACATCGTACTTACCCCGCCCTCAAAGGCTCACAAATTGCGTAATAGCGTTCGAAACTGATGGCTAAAATTGTGAGAACCGAAGCATGAGCCACAGTCAATTCCACGAATGGAACAGCTTTACCTGTAACAGGAGATACCTTCTTCAAAATTTTTCTTTATCCTGAAAAGAAAACATTAAAATATAAAATCCAAAAAGACTTTGCATTTTTTCACTATTTGCTGAAATGAAACAAAATTTTTAATAAACAAAATGTTTTATCTCAACTTATAATATGTAATAAAATATAAGTGAACAATGTTTTTTTAAGTAATAAAGTATAACATAATGGCTAAATAAAAAGTTTCATTTAACTTCGTTTTTTTCCATTACCTTGTTTTATTTACCATTTGTTAACAAAAGTAGAACGTGATTACAAAAGTAACATGCGAAACACGAAGTGGAAAAGTAGGAAGTTCGTGCAGTAAACTCTGACATTTTATTTTAAAAGTCAGAATCAAATTTGCCATAACAACAAAGTTCACTCTTTAAAGTTCTGGTACTGAACAAGTTTTGTAACATTAACACGACATCATGAATAATATATGTAAAAATGTAATTGCAAATAATAAGATAAAAGCTGAAAAAAAAGACAATTGCCAGACATATCACATGTATGATAATAAATAATTAAAATAAATCTTTAATATTAGATGCGTTAGTTAATTAAATAATTCTGATTAAAAAATAAAATCAATAAACAAAAAATTAACTCATTTTAAAAGCAAAGTAATATATGCATTAATTAATATTAAATATTATATCAGGAAGTGTGATATTGAGAAAGAATTCCTTTTCGATGTCGGTCAAATGTGCCGCTAATCGTTGAAAACACTAAAAGAACAATTTCTCCGAGGCTCTCTTACTCACATGCCGGATAAAAAAAAACAACGTATTCGAGGATGCGTGATTTATAATTCCCAAAAGAGATCTCGCTTGAGAAAATACGGTGCCGCTATAAACTGCCACGGCACTCTGGACGCTATCATTTTCCAGCGCGCATCCATTCCTTCATTTATCCGGTGACCACCTGCTTGAGCAATAGAATCGTTCGTCATGTTGACATTTTTTCTCAAGATAAAATGGCAAACGCGTCGACTTTTTCCGGCCGGAATAGAATCGATGATAAAGCCTCCAATTATTTCGACTATACGAACACTCTGCTAGAATGCTCTGTTAGCAAAAAAGAGATTCTTATTCAATTTCTTATTCCTTATTAAAAGAACAAGAATATTTTATATCATCTTCGTCACTTTGAAACATTTCCAATATTAGATTAAAAGAGCTTAATGCGCATTTCAAAGCGCATAACATACGATTCAGAAACTTGTCAACAAATAGTCAATTTTGTAGATTTTTATAACTCTGTCTAAAATAAAATCAGGTGAATTTATTTTCGTTGAAAAGCGATTAGTCAGGAAAGAGATTGTCTGAAAGTCTGCAACAAATGCTTATCTTCCTCCCTATAAATAGTTTGAATAATGCATGCTTTACTATATTTTCAGGGAATATCGGCTGCAGGAATTATGCATATCTGCTTCGCGCATGCGGTTCTTTGAGAGCGCTAATCTAGGCTTTAGTTTGCAAATTAATGAACCGCGTCCGAATTTTGACTTTCGACATTTGTAAACGAGATCGGTTGTATACAAACGATTATGAATATTCAGTAGACAATTCATAAGCACATCGCTATAAACTGATTTCACATTATCAAATATAATAAATATTTTATAAGTTTCCACACTATAAAAATACTTTAACAAAATTACGTGCAAATAAATATGTCTATTAAGAAAAAAAACAAAGAGATAAATTCAGTTGATGAAGAAAATACGGAACAAAGAAAGTATCAAGAAGATTATTACTTAAGATTATTATTTAAGTTTATTACATAAATGTGTCTATATAATGTGTGCCTTGTGATCAATTCATAGGCTGCGTTCGGTTTGGCGCTTACAGCGCTTATAAGCATCATTTGTTCCTTTAACATTTCATAAACAACAAGGATGAAATGATATTGTGAGCACTGTGAGCGCCAAAACAAACGCAGCCATAGTAAATTCTAAATATAACTAAGCTTCTCGATCGATTCATTAATCATTATTTCGTTTTCATTAAAGCCATTGTGACAAATGAGGGACACAGGAGAAAACTTAATTTAATGTATTCAAATAATTTAAAGGAAATAGAGAGAATAAATCAAATATATTAAAGTAAAGGCCTATAAGAATCAACACGGGTATTGGTATGTAATAATTTTTTTATAATATTCCAACCATATGTAAACTGCGCACCGCTTCGTCGATTTAATATATTCAGTTATCCATTAAAAGCTACAAATTTCACTCGCTATTTTTATGAGTATGACTTTTTTAGAAAAAAATAATTTTTAGATTTCAGCTTTCTAGATCTAGAAATACAAATACACAAAATAATTACAAATTAAACAACATTAAATTTTAAAAACGCTTATTCGTTCATTAGAGCAATTATAAATCTTTAACTCGCATTCATTATTTCGGTGTTGAATGATTTAATTATCAATAAAATTTAACACATATATAAAACGTATAGTTTGAATACTAATAAATACTAATTTTACATAAAAAGAAATAAATTTTCGCTCAAATATTATTTCATTTAAATATTATTTCTTCTGTGTCCTTATTCATTTATTACGAGTAAGTTATCTTTTATTCAAATAAAGTATTATTTGTTAAATTTATCCTTATAAAATTAGTCAATTTTGACACGTATTGAATTATCAAAATTAAAGCATAATTCAATGTATAGTTAAAGGAGCACGTTCACTCTTTTATTGTGGTTCTTTTTTCAACGCTTCGTGGCTTACAAGGGACGTTCCAGACAAATTGCTCTAACTCCTCCGCCTTCGCAGGAGGGCAATTGGAAGGAGGGTGGTTAGATTTTCTTTCGGAAAGCTTCGGAGAACGGCCGATCCGTCTTGCGGTAATTCAGACTAGTTCTATAACAAAGATGATACGCTGGCATTTCCTTTTCAAAGCGAAAGATGGACCCTTCGAACTGGCTATCCTAAGCTGGTCATTTGGTTGTACACGATTTAGCAATTAAGTCCTTTTTCTCTCTTTTTTTTACAAAATACAATAAAATACGCAGTTGTTTTTATCTATTTAATATGTTTTGTAATAAAATTAGTTATATAATATAAGCAACACGTATAATCAATTATTTTATAATTTATAATCATATATTTCTTCACTATATCGTAAAATTAAATAATACAAAAAACAAGCAAATAACTTCAAAAAATATCTTATCAAACGTAGAAAATAGATATTATAAAAATGTTATAAGTTATATTAGTAAATGTTGGTTGAGATCACATATCCATTATCTGTTATCCGATAGTTTTCTTCCAGAAACAACGCTGCGTCAACCCTTATCTCCATTATTCACTTAAGCCCCACATGGTTTCTTTCCACTCTCCTAACTGTAAACCATTGTATGAGTTAGAAATGTCAAGAAAAGCTTTTGACAATTTTCCAACTAAGCAAGTATCTAAACATACCATTATCTCAATTAAAGATTTCTAAAAGTGCCTTTAATGACAAAAATATAAATAAACAATATAATATAATAATATAATATAAACAAACGTAGAAAAGTTCTATTTTTAAGAAAATAATATAATTTTAATGAAACAATTATAATATATGTATTTAAATTTAAATATTTATAATTGTCAGACTATTTATTTGTATACTAAACGCTCTTTAAAGATTTTCTGTGATAAACTGTTATAAGATAAATGTTTACAACAAAATGAATTGTTTTTTTAACTATTTGATAATGAAAGGAGTATTGATTTCAACGTAACAGGATTCGCGTATTCGTTAAGGAAATACGATATTCCCTTTGAATTTTCTGTGCGAGATAAATTTGAACAAATCGTACCAATCAGGTTGAAACAGTAACAATAAATCAATTTGCTTGTTATAAATTTAAAAAATATTTTAAACATAAATTTCAATAATAATATTTAAGAAATAATACATTATAAGTATTAGAGTCTCAATTGAAATAAAATCTCTCATAACTGAAAAAATAATATTCCTGCAAGACGAATCAATCAGACTCGTTAATTGATTTTATAAAGAACGGATAAAGAGTTCTCATATACCCCGATCCTCTTATTTATCCTATTACACTGTTTATTATAGAAAATCTAAAGCTGCTTATAGAAGGTAAAGTATTAAGTGACTGGGAAAGGTTTGCTTTTTTAGGCATCCATCTACACGGAAAGCTATTTCCACAATCGATTATCTGCGGCGAGTGTGCCAGCTTTCATAATTCAGCACACATGTTCCCCGCATTCGGTTCTTATCACCGTTGCACGGATCTCCAGGGAGGCCTCCCGAGCGGAAAGCTATTTTAACACATCTTCAATCTTGCGTCACGAACACAAAACACTAAATCGTATCTTTCTTTTGAATCTGAGATAAAGATACGCTTATTCCATTAAGAATAATTTACTGCAAACAAGTATTTTTATTAATAAAATGAAAATAGTGATTTAGTTATTAACTTTTCTAATTATAATATTTCTAATTAAAGTTATATTGAATCTTCCGTTGAATATTTATTTCTAGCAATTACTGGCTTTCATATAAATCATTCTTAAATAAATATTATATATATGTATATACATGACCTGAATTCAATTCTACTAGCAAGATCTCATACTTTTGCGAGATGACGTAGCAGTGACGTAGCTAGACATGACAAGATGATGCCTCCCTGTAGTCCTTAACCACTTTATATCTGATATGAAGGTGCAGTGTAACATAAGGTGATCCTTAGTGTTCGTTAACACAAACTACGCAACTTATTTTAACTCACAATTTCCTGATACTCAATTTGATCTCAATCTCGTGTTTACGATATTTATAACTGTAATAATTAAAAGCAATATAATAATTAAAATCGTATACGTCATTTTATTTAAACAAAATATATATTGTATAATTACGTAATTATATAGATCCGGTTAGAATATGCAAGTGTTAATAAATCACCTTTTCTACTAAAAAAAAAGTTTATTTCTG